TGAGTGTCCTGGGTCAGACTGTAAGGGCAGTCCTTTAAAAAGTGTTGGCCCTCACATCGCAGGCAGACCCCTCGTTCCTTTCTTCTCCTCCACACTCCCTCCTGGATCTTGAGGTCATGCCAGGGGAGAGTGGAGGGATTGAGAGGGTCAGCTGGCATATGGATGACTTTGGGTAAATTAGGGCGGTGGGAGGAGGAAGGCCGACGTCCCTTGTCCTTCCCCTTTGCACTGGCTGAGGCTGTGGTGGGAGAGAATCTCTTCTTCTGCTGCAGGACTCCCAAAACAGCCTGAGTCAAGGCCGCTGCAACATCGGTTTCAGCAGCTGTTCCAGTCCCATCTGATGGTGTATCAGCCTGGGAATCTGAATCAGAAGTTGACGCAGATCCTGCATGTGTAAAGGCTGCCTTTCTCTTTCTACCACCGCGAGGGAAGGCACCTTTCCTCCTGTCAGAGGAGGGGGCCTGGACATGAAGTTTTGCCTCCATGTCCAGGGCTGCGCGGCCAAAGGATCTCCAATCCTTGTGCCCAGCGCTATACAAGGCCACAACAAACTTCTCAGGCGCAGCCCTGCGGAAGTTGGTCAGCAAATCATCAGTGGACATGACCAACCCAAGGGTAGAGGTAAGTTGCTTGAACTCTGCAAACAAGGATTGCAGGGTACAGCTGTAGCGCTGCTGCCCCAAGCGAGCAATCTTGTCAGCAGCTTTGCGGGCCCGCTCCTTGTCTACAAAGTGGTCCTCTAGGGCCTGCAGAAGTCTGTCCACCCCCAGCCCAAAAGCCCATTCCTCCATGGACTGCTGCAGACTGCTGGAAGTTGAGGTGACCCACTTTAAGGCGGGTCCCTCCAGCAATCCAAGAATCGTGGCCACCTTAGTCTGCTCTGCACAAACAAAGCCCCTCAAGTAGGCTTTGGTCCCAGCAGCCCAGTCCCCAACATCGGTCTTTGGGTCATCCCCTCTGAACTTATTGGGAGTTGGGATCTTGGGACCTCTCTGGTCTCCTGCAGCAACAGATGCATAAGATGGCTGGGCTGTGGCTTTTTGGGAAGGAGGTGGTGAAGGGGAAGAATGACGTGATATGGAGGAGGTTGAAGGAAGAGAAGGAGAAGGCTTGGGTTTCGCTGAGAGGACAGGAGACAGGGGAACAATCAGTTTGGCTGCTGTCAGCTGAGCAGTCAGATTTTGGATTGCTGTCAGGATCTTGGACTGCTGAGCTGCCAGGTCATCCACCCTGCGCTCCAGACGACCGATGCGGTCATCCCAATTAGTGAAACAGGAACTGGTGGTTTTGTTTTCCAGAATGGCCCATTCCGCCAGATTCCTTGTCACCTGTGCACAACGTTCATCAGACATAGCCTTGCCTAGCTGCTCCAACAGATACTCCTTTCACGAAGCATCTATTGCAGCCTCTAGCTCGACTGCCTCCTGTCTCTCCAACTCGTCAAGCAGGGCCTGTTCCTGCTGCAATCTTTCCTGAATCTCCTTCTTCCTTCGTTGAGTAGCAGTCAAAGGAGTAGTAGGAGTGGAGGTAGCAGGCTGCTCACCTTCTACCTTCATTACTACTTCCACCTGTGGCTGCTGCTAAGCGACTTGATCAACCATTTTCCTCTTTCAGACTCAAAAATAAACAAATAGCAGAGAGTATGCAGCGATATGCAGATCCCTTCAGGCACTCAAAAATCGCTGCCAACTCATGCACATAAGTCAAGTGGGTAAATGGGCAACAAATGGTTAGGGTTGGAATGGTTTCTCTGGGGTCAGAGGTCAGACAGACAGTTAGTCCAGCAAAATCAAACACACGATTTCCTTTTACTGACCCTGCACCACACTGGAGTTAGTAGAGACAGTCCATTACTCTTCCAGAGGAACACTAGATTCCCAGATCCCACTAGAAAACAAGAGTAATCAGTGAGAATGAAAGAAAAGGGCAAGCACAGACAAGAAGGATCAAAGAAGCAGAGCGATTCAGTCAGAAACCCTGAATCCTAGCTCAGACTCAATTTTCATCCCTGATGACTCTGGTGGCCATACCCTAGGGTATGATGAAATATAGTATTCACTGTTTCCAGTGATATAATGGAAATCCAATCAAGCGCTTCTGCCGGATTGCCTATTTTTGGATTGCGATTCACTTGGAACTGACAGAACGGAATTCTGACAGTCAGAATTGGAGTTATGATTGGCCCTAATTAGCACAGGTTATAAATAGATTCAGCGCAAAACTACAATTCACGGCATCACTGCTTTTCCAGTACAGGATTCCCAGTCTGAGCATCACAAATCCAGCGCAATATTGTAAGGCAGTCACATAACAATTTTGGATGCAAAAGAGTCACCAGAGGGTTAGAAATGAGCAGAGGGAGCTAGGGGAGAGAGGGCTATGGCTGTCACGCAGTCTGCGATTTTCACATCCAGTCATTGACAGACAGATAGACCATAATTACTGACTAATCTAATCCTATCTGAATCGCTATACAGGTAGGTGCATGGAACGGACTCACTTTCAGAGCGTCTTGCAGAGGTTAATGAAGATTTGGCTATGGCAGACTGAAACTCTCATCTCGCCAATTTCTTCCAGAAATTTCTCCTCCCTGTTCCACGCACAGAACTTCTTCAATCTTGTTGATCCTCTTCAGGATCCTGGAGCGCTTCACTCCCTTTAGTCAGATTTACTGAATCTGACTCTGTGGCACCCCAAAACGCCAACTGGAAAAATCTCACCACAGGACCTAAGATCCGCTGATGCTATAAATAGCCCCAGATGGGGTTATTTTCTCCTGAGATTGACACAGACTGTCAATCTCCCTCAGCGCTACTCAGGGATGAAGTCGCTCCACGATCCCTGAAGTCTTCAGGTGTAATTCGCCACTCGGGGGTACTTTGCTACCGTACCCTCAGGGTTGGCTATGGCGAATCGACCCTGTTCTTGCCACTTTCAAACAAGCGCCCTGACAGGCTCAGTGCGCTTGCTCAGTGCAAGCACTGAACCCCTGAATCCACCGCTAGAAGTCTTCTTCCTTGCTGACTCAGTACTGGGGAAGAGGAATCGCCATGAAGCTCTCGCCAGTATGTCGCCAGATGAAGAAGCTGCCCGTTGCACTCAACCCTCAGTGCTCCATTCCAATCTCGCTCCGATACCAACTGTTATGAACTTGTTTGTCTGATGATTTTTACCGCCACTCACACACAGACAATCTCATACACGCCCATACATGCATAAGAGAAGGGGGAGAGGAGACAGAGTCTAAACTGCACACAGGTCAGAGTAGAGAGGGGAAGCACAACCATGCACAGATGGGGAGAAGACACACGGTGTTTCTCACCCTCTGACAAACTCCCAACAACCAATCACAAGAAGCACCTATGAGGATAACAATTGGAATACACACTGATGATGAGCCAATTAACCAAAAATCGTTACAGAGTTTGTTCCAGTGTCCCGCCACTCTCAGAACTTCACACTCCACTCTCTACCCTACACCCAGTTAGTAGCGCCACATCAGAATGGCCTCCCGGAGGCCAGCGCCAACCACCGAGACGAAGAACAGATCCTGCGTTGAAGTCTTCAGTGCCGCTGAACAACTCTGACGAAGAACCGGCAGCTATGGCTGCCGCCACCCACGAGGACTTAGTGAGGGGTGCTCACACAACCCAGCCACTCGCAGGAACCCACAGGGGTTGGTGCGCAGAGGATGCCCCAGCTATGGCAAGTCCTCAACAGGCTGGCTATGGCTGCTGTCCGCGGTGAGGGTCTCAGGGTGCCGCCTGCAGACAATCGCCGCTCAAAAACTCTCCTGGCTCCAAACGCTGTATCGCGAAAATGAACTGCCAAAAGTCCCAACCCGATTCCCCCAAACTATTAATAGACTCTATTACTCTAGGCTAGACCTAGACCGGACTGACTGATTGACCGGTACCGTTTCGGTTTCGGCCTCTCGGCCTCTACCGGACCCGGCTATAGGCTATAGGACCGTCTATCAGCTTAGGCCCTTAGGGCCTGTTTGTCCTACAGGTAGCCCGGGCCTGCTAAACGCAGTGAGGATAGCTGTAGGAAATTCAAAGTACTGCTGGGCCTATTTTCCCCATATTTGCAGATATGTCCCTCACGAATTTTCCTTACAGGTAGGTCTCTCAGTTAGCCCTTCGAGTACTGCTGGGCTTGCTTTGTTTTTTTCCCCTTTAAACGACCACTACCTTTTCCCATTTGGGCCGCCTTCGGCGCCCCGAATCTTTAGGAGGCCGAAACGAAACTACGGCCGCTGATAAGATTTATCAACGGCCGCCATCATCGGGGCCCGCCTCCGATTTTTTCTCAGGAGGATATTTTCCCGTTTTCCCGACAGCGGGAAAGGTAGTGGTGCTTTCAAAAAAAAAAAGAATCCATTTGGACTAACGGGTTTGCTAACAAGTTTTCTTTACCTTTTGTGCTTCAAGCACTTCTAGGCTTAGGCTGGGGCTGATGTGGCCTTTCCTGATCGAATTGGGAAGCTGGAGCAAGGCACATGAGATTGAGCCACCGTAGACACAGTGCCAAACTTGTGTATGGAGATCAGTTGCTGACGGTTCTCAACTTGTCTCAGCTTGTCTCAGCTTGTTTGCGCAAGGTTGGCACCAAAGCTCTTAGCCTCAAATTGGAATTCATAACGAAGCACTAAGTGACTAAAGTCTCCCTGTCGAAGGAGGGAATCATTTTTGCATTGGTGCCCCATTGCTATGAATTGAGTATTGTTGGATGGTAATGGTCCTCTTTTGCCTTTGTGAGATGTGTTGAGACCTCTACGTCGGTATTATCACTGTATGGCGTATGCTTATGTTAATTGAAACACGTGGGGGAAGGTCTTCCTCCATAGATTTCCACGATCAACAGCTAGAAATGAAGAACCATGGATTTGGGACCTTGCCCCAGAGGCCGATTCTTCCAGGTCCTTGCTGATAGTGTTAGAGCACAGTGATTCATGAGGTGGTTGTGGCTTGATTTGTTTGCTGCATTGTCTTCCATAGCAAGTATTCACTCAAGTGATTCCAAAAGGGAGTGCTGGGCGGACCTTATCCAGATCTTCACAGGGTACGAAGGAAGAGAAATATGCTACTGACTACAAGAGTGTGGGGCGTCCGACCATGTCAGAAATTTCAAGAAATCAGAGATCCCTGCCGGATGCCACAAGGAAAAAAACCGTCCAGGAAAGTAAAATAAAACAGCATCAGCAACGAGCTAATGAAGTGACTAAGGGTGGTCCCCAAGTTGGATACCAACCAACGTCCCAGGCAAGACTCATCCCAAAACATAAAAACGAAGTAGCCCACGAAACAAAGCAGGATCAATTAAACAGCCGAGAAAAAGTGGAGGAAGGTCACAACACAGATGAGAACGAGGATGATGGCAAGGAGGAGGGCGAAGATCATGATGGTGAAGAGGAGGATGAAGAGGAGGAAGACGAGGAGGAAGACGAGGAGGAAGACGAGGAGGAAGACGAGGAGGCGGCATCAGATATTGTGCACACAGAAACGGAAGGTAGTCAAAGCTCCAGTGATGGACACCAAAGGCGGAGAAGATGGGGTAACAAGAGCAGGTCTACATCTTCTGACATGGAGAATGATATAGAGCATCTGTATATAACTCAGACAAAAAAAGAAGTTCGGATCTCATCGCGGCCAGAGACTCCTGGGAGTGACATCCTGAGGACAGAAGTTGAGGTCACTGACAAGCAGCATATGTTTCTGAAGACTGTAGAGACAGAAGGGAATGAAGGTGGCAGAGGTGACGGAGGTGGAGAAGATGAGGAAAGTGATGTCTCTCGTGTCGTTGTTGTGAAGCAGAAGGACGAAGAGAAATCACGATTTACCTACACTGGTGATGAGGAAAGCACTCGTGATGTTTTTTTGCGAGCAATACACACTGCCGCTAGCAGCCCCAGGTAATCTTAATGTTAACTTTCCTTTTGCTTGCCATAATGAGGTCGTCTCGTGGGCTGAAGTGTAGTTAGCAAATTAGCAATCCATATGTTGTTTCATGGATTGTGCTGTGTTACTTCAGCATGAAGCTGGTCATCCCTGGGGAGTAGCTCATTCATGCCAACTCATGCAGCGCTAATACAAAATAGCATGCAATGTGGTCAAAGCTTAAACGACAAGCACCGGGCATCATTCTGTGGACCTCTGATAGTTTTTCCATAACAATTCATGAGTGAACTGAACCAGCCACAGGCAGGCCGGTACGTCCAGATCATGGGCCTCCTGCTAATCGGTGGGTATTCCTCTTGTGCTGGCGCTTTAAAGGCTAGGCAGCTTCCCCTCTCCATTATCGATACAAGTAAGTTCATACAAGTTTATAGATTCATACAAGATAATTGATCACCACATAGGAGGCATTACATGTGATACATGCCCAGTTGGGCGATTTATGTACAGCCAAGGATCCGCAATGTGATGAAAAGGACTGAATGGACAATGAAATGTTAGTGAAACATCAACAAGCAATGTACACCCTGATACATACGAAATGGCACAAACTAGCGCAGTGGAAGACTTGGATATAAGTCCTGACCTGACCGGGACTGACACGGCATCCCGTCATACATCACGCATGTGAGAGGAGGAGGAGGGACCGGACACAAAGAAGAAAGGTCCCTCCTTGCACACGCACATGGGGAGATACCGCAGATATGAGATGGGGGGAGAGGTGAGACGAGGATGGAGGCGAGGGAGAAGACCAAGATCGCAATGGCGATGTCCAAAATAGTCCCTTGCCGATGTCCAATCAATGTCTGTCTCAGAAATGTCGAACCAGATCCTGGGCACAATGCCCACTATAACCCCTGCCTGTATCCTTTGCCTGTAACCTCTCTCACTCTCGTATCCAAGGAAGAAGAAGAAGTAGAAGAAGAAGAAGAAGGGAGGAGGAAGGAGAGAGAGAGAGAGAGAGAGAGAGAGAGAGAGAGAGAGAGAGAGAGAGAGGAGATGGAGGACGAGCTGGAGGAAGAAGAATGCCGTCCTCCTCGCTGTCTTACCTGGAGGTAGCTGCCACCGTACTGACTGTGTGGTCGCTCTGTGCAGGTACCACGCGGAGTCCCCCAGCTATGGCGCCAGGTACGTTCCCCAACTACCGGTAGGCCTCCGCCTCTCTCTCGACCTCCTACCCCTCTACTCCCAGCTTCACAGTGTAGCGCTAGGGTAGCGCAGCCTCCAACCAGCGGCGTGTCGCTCAAGAAGTGAGCTGCCGAACTTTCGGTTGCCCAGCCGCTGCCCAGCTATATGTAGCGCTGGGCGGGCTGGGCCTACCTGGTGCTGGCCTCAAAAACGGCCCAGCCGGTCTGGGTCCCTACCGGACGTCCAGACCATGCTGCTGATGCAGCAAGGTGTGAAAACGAGCCTGGCCTCTTTAGGCCCTGCCTCTGGTGTACCCAGTCCCAAAGTCGTGTCTTGGGGACTGCAAGTCCGAAACGACACCTGCACAGACAACGAAGGGGCAGCAGGTAAGTAAATAAATAAATAAATGCCGCCTATATTCGCCATCTGTGACCTGGGGGCCGCCATGGGTCTCCAGGGCACATGTCTGATGGGCATGCGGCCTGGGGGACCCTCAGCAACCGTCGGGCCCCTTAAATGGGGCCCGTGTGCAGGCACAGCATGTAACACCCCCCTCTCCTTATGAAGTCAAGCCGGGTCGAGGGTGAAGCTGACGATCTGAAGGTGGAACCTGGACGTGGGTGCGACATGGAGCCGAAGATACCGGCTTGCCTTGCATCTTGCGTTCGTAGCGTGCGAGAACATCTGGAGTTGTTGCTTGGAGTTCCGCATGGGTCAACCAACGGTCAGCTTTGTGGGTGCAGTACGCGAAGTGTACCAAGTATTCAGTCGGCCTGTTGCCATAGCATTGTTGGGAGATGATGTCGCCAACCTCTTGAAAACCGTCCATAGAGGGTGGGTCTTGTGATCGTCACTTGGGAAAGTCGTCATGTTCGGCTGGCATGTAAAGAGCCAACTTGGAGCAGTGAAAGACCGGGTAGACGGGCAAGTGGGCAGGCACCTGAATGACAAAATTCCTTCGGGTGAATGACAAAGGAAGGTCCTTCGGGTGCATCCCCAGCGGGTGCCACGATCGACCAGGGCCCCATCCATTTCAGGAAGAGCTTGCGAGAGATATCTTGTTCGAGGCTGAATTCCGCGGCGGAAACCCACACGAGGTCGCCGACCCGGAATGGACAAGGAAGAGGCTGGCGATTGGCCTATTGGCTCATGCGTTGCTGCGTCTTTGCCATCTGGTAGCGTGCCTTGACAAGTAGCACTTGCATCCGAAGCAAGAAGAGAAGATGGTCATCATCGCTCTCGGCCGCTGGTGGAATGATTGTGTTCAACGGAGAAGTGACCAGCGAGCCGTGCTCGAACTCGAAGGGCGACATCCCGATAGCCGGATGGATAGACGAGTTGTATGCCAACTCGACATCCGGCAGCCGCTCAACCCAATCCTTTTGGTCGGGATGAATGAGAGTGCGAAGGAGAACCTATGCGGTCTGGTGCGCCCTCTCCGTTTGGCCATCGGTTTGGTGGTGGCGAGCCGAACTTGGCTTGAGAGATGAGCCCCATTGTTGGATGAGCGCCAACCAAAAATCGGACACTAACCAAGTGTCGAGGTCGCAGACTATTTCCTTGGGGTAACCTTGGTTCGAATCCAACCGGCGTAAAGAACCTCGGCCAAATCCGGCGCCTTGGCATGATAGCAGCAAGGCAAAAACATGGCGAACTTGGTGAGTCGGTCGACCATCGTGAGAATCCCATCCATACAGGTCTTGTGCTTGGGGAATGACCCAATTGCTTCCCTTCGGCCCAAGGGGACCGGTAATGGTCGCAACTAGCCGTATGGATGATGATTGCGGGATTTGCAGCGTCGGCAAACCTCGCATGACTCGTAATAGCATGTGACGACGCCGAGAAGGCCGGACCACCAAAAGCGCTCACGAAGTCAGCCAATCGTTTGATTGACCCCAAAGCGTCTGGTGGCGGGAGCATCATGGAACTCGCCAAGAAGCCACGTATGTAAGTGAGAGTCACTTGGCACGCAAAGGAGGTCCTTCCCCTGCGTGTGGACAAGCAAGTACCCTTTTTGGATCCGGTAGTGAGAAGTCGCTGGATTAGGAGACGAGCAATTTGCGTACTTGTTGCGAAACTCGGGGTCAGCTTGGTAGCCGTGGATGAAGCTGTTCCGCAGGTCGTCATCAATCTCGAAGGTCGAATAGACCGCGGTACAATGATCTGGACGTCATGAAAGAGCACCTGCAAAGCGGTTAGACTTCCCTAGAATGTGATCGTGAAAGAAGTCAAATTGGTCAATGAATATCATCCAACGGGCAATGGGGCTATTAAAGGTGTCTTGGGTCTTGTAGAAGACCAACGGATTGTTGTCCGTTACCCATCAGAATTGACTTCGACCAAGGAGGAAGGGGTGTTGCCACGACTTGAGCGCGTGGACGAAGGCGAGGAGCTCCTTCTTGCATGCATCATCAATTGAGTGCATGACGGATACTTTCTTGTTGAAATACTCGACCAGGTGCTAGTCCACTCTATCGTGTTGTTCGAGGACGACACCTATGCCATAGTCGGACGCATCCGTAGTGACTCGCGTTGGCAATAGCGGGTCATATATGCGCAAGACTTCCGCGGATAATAACGCAGCTTTGAGAGCAAAAAATGATTCTCGCACATCCTCTCCGAAGTCGAACGACCGATCCTTGCATTGAAGCTTGGTTAAGTGAGCTGCGTTCTTTGAGTATCCCTTGATGAAACGTTGGTAGTAGCCAGCGTTGTCACGCGGGGATCCCTGGGGCCCAAGCCGGGGTAGGGGTTTCAACCCCGGA